AACTTTATTTCCTAATATGGCTATTGATACTAGTTATCTTACAGAAATCATAGGTTACGCTAAGGGTAAATCATCTTTGAAATTTTTACATCTTAATTTATCATGGGAGTCCGGTTTGGTAAATGGAAGATTTACAAGGGCGATGACAAAAGAGTTACAAAAGAATATTTTCACCGTTGATTTAGGAAAATTAAGGGGCGAAGAAGTACAATGAGGAACGGATGTGAGGGAGGAGGGTACGTGGTACCTAAGTGAATGCGTGATGTATGTAAATATATATATTTTTGTAAAATATTTTAAAAAAAAAAAAAAAAAAAATTATTTTTTTTTTTTGAGAACCCCCCTTTATTTGAGATTTTATTTATTTATTTATTTATTTATCTCGTTTTTGGAAATTTATTTAGAAATTTTTTGTTTATAGTTTTATATATTTCTTTTTGTACATATTTTGAAATAAATAAATTAAAAAAAAAAAAGGCCAATTTATTTACTAGTGCATACTTGTGGTGTCTTCCAATAGGTCATTGTTGTCAGTTGGGATATGTCCAAGAATTTAGCACATTGAGACATTAAAAAAGTTATGATATGAATTAGGTATTTATTACTAATCAATTGAATCAGAATTGTCTTGATTTTGAAATTTTGGCGGGAACATAATACTCGAGAATAAACAGAAAACTAAACTATGACTATTCTCCGTAGTTTTATTTCAGACTCGTTTGGATCGACCAATCACCGGAATTTCCCTCCCCTCCAATAAATGATTAAATTTTCAACAAGAAATCCAAATGAGAATTGTCAGTACCTATTTAAAAATTCGAAATGAACACGTCCCCATTCACTTGCTTCTCTCTTTAGTTACCGCAGTTGGGACACCTCGTGTTAATCCTACCAGAAATGCTTATGATGATGCTGCTTCAATAAATTCATCACTTTCCATGATTCCATCAAAGAAAAACGCTACATTACAAAGTAAAGAATTAGAAGGGATATGATATTTATAAAATTTTTTTCGAGAGTAAATTTTATTTAAAAAAAAAAAAATCTTCAAATAACTCTCTCTCTAGGATTTTCCTCCACCTTCACCAGTGATATACATTCTCAATGTCCAAGCATTTTGAGAACGTCCCCCACACTATGTTCCATGACAACATTGTATTCTAACTCAAAAGTCCCCTTTTTCATCAACATCAACGATAACCGGTGCTATCAAATCTTGATTTCTACTTCTTCTTGCTGATTAGATGAACCTCCATTTGTTCCTCAAACGTTCGATTGGCAAGTTTTATCTACAATATTTCTCAAGTGGGAATATCCCATTTGAAAATACCTTTGTTTTCTAGTATAAACGATAAAGTATAAAACGTATAACTTTTTTATCATTATCATCCCATACTTCATAAACTTGTCCAGTCACCAGGTCTAGATTTTTGTTGGCGCAATAAAAAAATAATGATCCAGCTTCGACCGAATGAAAGTTGTAGTAATAGAAGGTTAAGTTCAAATATGATTGGCAGATCACAATCATCATAAAAATATTTGATTGGATGAATGCAGGGACGATTGATGTTACAAAAGGGTAATAATAGTGATGTAGAAAAGATATGTGAATGAATTTTTGTGAAATTCAAGAAGTAATGGGGGTATATTTATAACATTTTGTCGAAAAAAAAAAACCCCCCCAAATTTTTTTGTTTCTCTTACTTTATGTTGCACAAAAAAGAACTAAACTTTTTTTTTAATGAGCCCCCGGATTCGTGCGATGCAAATTACCAAAAATGTAAAATTTAAAAAGGTGGTTGTCCTTTATAATCTAAGTTCACGTGAAAAAATGCAAAAAACATGATAAATCTGCGACGCGTTATGAAATGCACGAATCCGTGGGGCCTTAGACGCGCGACACGACCTATGATAGCAGGTGACGTATGACGTAGAAATCATGTAAAAAACACCCTTCGAACAATTAAAGGTTATTATAACTATTTTTATTTTGAATAAATATTTCTATTATTTATATAGATATATATCATCAATTAATCTAATTATTATTATTATTTTTAAAAAATCCATTCCATAATCCACCTAAATATTGCCAAATACCCTTTTTTTCGGGACTAGGCCTATCATTTGGCCATAAATGTGGAGGAGGTCTCTTTTTCAAGCGACAATAAATGTATTTTGAAGCATGAATAAATTCTTTAAATAAATCTATTGGTATTAAAGAATCTTTCATCGCCTGTAATATCGGAGTGGGTTTCCTTGAATTTGGTCTATAATCTTTATAGCGAAATGCCTTCATTTGAATTAAGGATAATATTAAAAACTCTACTGATACTAATACAGCTTGAATTCCCGTTGATATATCATGTGCCGTCCTAATAAAACATAAGTAAGTTGTTGTTATTAAAAGTTTCTTTTAAGGACAAAAGGTTCATATTATCGAATGTTATCTTTTTTACCAGTATCTCGTTTCCTTTATAAATCCCAATAAAATTAATAATCCTAACGTGGCACCTATGATAAACTAATGATTAAACTGATGATACGTTTTTTTTTTTAAAAAAAAAAAAAAAGGAAGATTGATTCTCATCATACCTTGATATGTAACCAAGAAAAATGCCTAAGATAAAATCAATTATATTAAATTTATATCATCAAATAATTTTTTTTAAAAAAAAAATACGATTGATACTCACCACGTTAACACAAATGTTTCTTAGAAACCAAGGATGATCATCTTTTAAAACTTTTCGAGCAGGTTTAAATAACATATTCTATGTAAATCAAAGAAAAAAAGATTTAAATTAGTTTTTCAACAAAATCCATTTCTAAAAAAATATATACAATAGATTCATGAATTACCATGCAAATATCAGCAACAAGTCCGGAAATACTTTGAATGGCAATTAGATAAATTTTAGGAAATCTTAAAGAAAAGGATTCATTACAATATTTTCCAAACACTTGTAATACAAACGTAACGAATGTAATGGTGCAAACGATAAATACGTATTGTAACATGCCAAATCTAAACCTTTTCAATAAATTACGATGTTCGCTTGGATTATAAGTTAAACAACAAAATGGTAATGGTACTTTAATGGATTTGATTTTTGCAGATCTTAATTTACTCAATCGTTCATCATCATTCTTTCCTAAACTATGCAATAATAAATTAAAAAAATTTATTATGGCATATGCTTGATATCCATCTCTTATTGTTATGAAAAATAATGAATATCGATTTCGAACGAAAACATATGCTAGCCAATTTAGTATCGTATAATTCGGTACTATTAAGAGTAATCGTATTATGTATCTTTGTTCATCTGGCTGAATAATAATAAATAAATAAATAATAAGGAAAATCAAAAAATCAAGAGTATCGAAAAAAAATTTGGAATCGATTTGATGACGTAATAACCCACATTTGTATAATATTTACAATGCTGTTTTATAAGATATAATGTAACAACCGAAGCTAGGATTGTGAATATTAAAGAAACCAGCCAACCTACAATATGAACTAAATCAAAAAAAAAAAAATTTAAATAAATATGAATCCTGAATTATATCTCTCTTGAACGATCTTGGGGTACTTACGAGGAACTGTCTTTCCATTTACATCAATAAATTTAAGATATTCAGGATCATTTTCTTTATGTACAATGGGACATGTTTCAGTGAATAATGATACAGCGAATGGCATTCCTTCTAACTATATGATAGGGATAAATTTTGTCGAGAAAAAAATACATACAAAAAAAAAAAAAATGCAAGAATGAAAATTCGAGATTAAATGACTAATTATATATAAGAACGAGGATGAATGAATTCTGTCTATACCATATTTGGTTTACAAATTATTTTTTTTTTTGGTTATTTTTAATAGTGATGATGTAACTTAGAATATTGATGACTTAACATTAACATCACAGGTATTTAAAAAAAAGGGTTTTGAATTTTTGAACCTTATGAATGAATCCAAATATGTTTATTTAAAAATTAATCCATTTTTAGGTACAATAAGAAAACAAGGAAGTCATTAAATATTGCCCTTTGTTTCGTCGTTCACTTATTAGTCATAATAACTATATTCGCTTAGATTTTCTATAAAACCCAAAACAATGAAATTCACAGTTATTTTAAAAGAACAAAACCCAAGATTATCGTCTATATGAATGCTTATAACTATTAAAAGAATAAGGCGAAAACCGTGTTTATAATGCAGGTTAGTTATAAGTATACCTTTGTTGTCAAATATTTATTGGCATAATGGCATTATACGAATAAATTTGGGAAAAAAATATTATGTATCTTAAAGAGGAAAGATTTATCATCTGCATAGTTACGCTAAGAATTTTTTTAATTTTAGCTCCATCATGTGATTTTATTATTTTTCTTTTTCTCTACGTTTTTTTTTTTTTTCATTCTTGTTCCCTTAAAAAAAAAAATTACCTTCTATGCGCCTCTTCTTATAGATTAAAAATTGAATCCATCCGATATTTGAATAAAGTATGAACATTTTGGATTCCTTCTTGTGTTGCAATGCTACTGATACCAACATATCGGAGATTCACGAATATACACGTGACTTTATTTATTAGTAAAATTTTATCATATAAAATATCTTTCATTAATTTTCAGTATAGAAAACTAAAGCTGCGCCATGTGACGTTGTAATAGCTACATCAAAGAATGGTTCTTACTTTTATATTACAAATTAATTTTATTATATAAGAATGATGGGTATTATTTACATAATGAATAATATTTTTTTAACCAGTTACCTATTCTACGAAAGTTTATAAAATTAATAGAATATATTTAAAAATATAATAGGAGGTAAAAATAATGAAGTATGATAATAATTTTCACGAATTTTAGAATTGGATTGTAAATATAAAATCACAAAATAATAAATAATTCTCAATGTTGTTAAATCAAGGTGTTTCTCACGAATACAAAATTATTATACTTTAAAAACGGTAATTAATATTTCAGGATTTGGTAGAAAAATAATTTGTAATCTTTTCAGATTCTTTAACATTATCTACTTTCTTTTTCCTAGGTGGTTGTCTCTTTGATGGCGTAGATTGTAATGATCGTTTAGGCGTCTTATTAGATTTTGATGGTGTAGATCTTAATGATTTTTTAGGTATACTTGGAGGTGTTGATGGTAAAGATTCTTTTTTAGGATCAGGTGATGATGGAATATCAAATTCATCCTTTTGAACTTTGTTAGACTTCGTATCAGAAGTTGTTTCATCATCGGATGTATCAAGAGAACGTTTTGCTGGAACAACTTTATCATCATCCTTTTTAATCTGATCACCATCTTCATTCTGTTCCATTTTTGTTGTCGCATCTACGTCATCCCTAATCTCTTGTTTCTTTTGGAAGAAATCGATAACTGATTTTTTCGAATCGAGGGGAATAATCAAATCAGGAGAATTATTTTTAACATGTCCAACATCATCAGAGACAGGGTAGCTAAATGTTAAAAGAAAAGAATTTAAATGTTTAGACATAGTTAAATTTAAAAATGATATTGATTCGATACTTACATCTCCAGTTCGCCTGCGAATGGTTTTAAAAGCCTGACTAATTCAGGACTCCAAGGCGTTCGTGGATCTAACCATGTAGCCAGTTCTTCTGATCCATTTTCTAAAATTACTGGCATTCTATCATGTAAAAATTCGATCGGAGCTGACGACATTGTAGTAATGATAGTATAAGTATAGAGTGGATTCTCTTCATCTATAACATATATATAAATATATTCAATCTAATTTATTAGTTCAAAATGATAATGACAAAAAAATATCATACCTTCAAACTTTACACAATCATATAATCCGGCAAATAAAAACAAATTTCCATCTTTCCTTTTGATAAAATAAGGAATCCTTTTTTTGTCTTTTTTTAGCCATTCATAAAATCTAAATCAATTAATCAATTAATCTAAATTCATTTTAAACGGGAATTCATATTTACTTAGTTGTATATAACACTACCCATCAGCAACCACCACACAACGTTTTCTATTCTTCATAGAATTAAACATGCTCTTTCCATCCTTTAATGAATCATCACGGCAATTGATGATCAATTTGGAAAACTCGGGTTTTCCCTTTGTCCATGAAGGAATTAATCCCCATTTCTAAATTATCGAATAATAAATTATTGTTTTCAAATAAATAAAAAAGATACTGATAAGAATAATTTAATACCATAGTATGAAGTATTGTCTCACGCGAATCATATTCAACCCGAACAACCGGTTGAAAATGACAAGGTGCAACATTATATCTGTTTAAATGGAAATTTTTCAAATTTGAATAAGCTTATCCTAACATTATGATCGACAACAGTTCACACCTTGAATTCCATATTTAATTAATGCAAATATCAAAATCAATAAATTTAAGTCAAGGTCATAATATACTTACGAGGATTGGTACTTTTCTTTATCAATGAATTTTGTACATTTTATATTTGATCTCTCGAGAGCTTGCTCCAAAGATTCTGGCCTCTATAATTTGAGAAATGAATAAAAATTTCCAATAACTAAAAATAAAATGACGAAAAATATACTTACCGAAGTTAAAACATATCTTCCGCACATTTTTTCTCGAAAGTTATTATTTAAATATCGCAACGAACTAAAGAGACCATTTATAAAAAACTCCCGTTTTAATCAACGCCTAATCATGTGATTTGTACTACCGTTCTTAAATTTTTACCATTTATATATGGATTATGACAAAATGTTTTCAATTGTAAAATATTTCCTATCGCTACGATGTTATTATTATCTAATTTTATTGGCGGGAAATTTGCTTCTCTTAAAGAAGAAACTTACATTGACAGTTATAATCCCTCGACAGGAAAAGTTTATGCAAGAATTCCAAATTCTACAGAGTACGAAATTAATTTAGCGGTTGAAGCAGCTCAAAAAGCGTTTCAAACATGGTCGAAAACTTCCCGCTCAACAAGAGCTCAAATCATGTATAAAATTGCTGACATACTTGAATCAAAATTGAATGAATTCGCAATAGCAGAATCAATAGACCAAGGAAAAACTTTGGAATTCGCAAAGAATGTTGACATTCCAAGGTCTATTTATAACTTTAGATATTTTGCCGGTCATATCCTACATACTGAAGAAAAATCTACTGTTATGGATAATATAGCTTTGAATTATATTCAAAGATCTCCTTTAGGCGTCGCTGGACTAATCTCTCCAGTAGGTTTGATTTAAAAGCTAGTAGAAACCCTTCTTGAATAAAAGCTCGTTTTTAATCATCATTTTAACAAAAAACGGATATTTATTTTTTAATTATTAGTGGAATTTGTAGGTATTATTTTAATATTTTAAGACGCGTATTTAGTTTTGTTAAAAATTTCCTAATTGAATTTGCAGACCCTTGTATCTGTTAACCTGGAAAATTGCTCCATGTATCGCAGGTATTTTAATTGATTTTGTATTATGATTATTTTTTGTTACAATTTACTTGAAACGAGCTTTTTATCATTGATTTAAACAGCTGGTTGCACCTGTGTAGCAAAACCCAGCGAATTTACCAGTGTGACCGCGTACAGTAAGTTTCTCGACAGCTGATAATCAGCTGAACAATCTCATCCAATCATATTACCGTATTATTATACTAATGTTCTGCTTCTCCAAAGTGCTTTGTGACGTTTTCAAACAAGCTGGTTTGCCTGAAGGTGTGGTTAACATAATATTTGGCACAGGTAAGCGATGATAAATTATTATTAACCTTAATCTTATATTATAATTAAATAGAAATTTATTTTCTAGGGTCAAAAGCCGGACAAGCACTTGTGTCTCATCCTAAAGTACCTTTGATTTCCTTTACTGGTGGTAAATGAACTATTCGATTTTATTTATTCTCTTGAATTAGAATAGAATATGATAATAAGTTCTATCATCATTTAGGCACCGTAACCGGGAAAAAGATTAATGAAACTTGTGCGCCATTATTCAAGAAAGTTTCTTTGGAACTAGGTATTTATCATTTTGCAAATTCAATTGCATTAATATTGATTTTGTACTAATATAATTTTCTTTATAGGTGGAAAGAATGCTAATATTATATTTGAAGATTGTGATTTTGAAAAAACCGTTGATACAAGCATAAGAGCCGCGTTTTCTAATCAAGGAGAGGTAATGATAAAATTAGCGGAGTATCATTATATAAATTACTTTTAAAGAAATTTGTAACTTTAAAATCTCACAGATCTGTTTATGTGGGTCACGAATATTTGTACAAAAATCAATCTATCCGAAATTCCTTGATGCGTTTATTTCACAAGCACGCCAATTAGTGGTTGGAGATCCAAAAGATCCTAAAACTAAAGTTGGCGCATTGATTAGCAAGCAGCACATGGAAAAGGTTCTTAAATATATTGAATTGGCAAAAGAATATGGTGGCATTATCGAATGTGGTGGAATAAGAAAAAAACTTGATGGAGAATTCAGTGATGGATATTTTGTTGAACCAACTGTAATCACAAAGTGAGTAAACATGGAATATTCGAAATATTTATATAGAATTATTAATAACTTATGATTTTATTTATTTAGTATTAAATCGTCTTGTCGTGTTGCACAGGAAGAAATCTTTGGACCGGTAAGTCTTGGTTTTATTTTTTATAACATTTAATATTCATAATATATTTATTTATTATATTATAGGTTGTAACGGTTCATCCATTTGAAACTGAAGAGGAGGCCATTAACTTGGCTAATGACAATCAATATGGTTTAAGTTGTTCTATCTGGAGTGAAAATGGAAGGCGTGCTCGTCGAGTTGCAGAATCTATTCAAGTTGGATATGTGTGGGTTAATTGTTGGATGGTTAGAGACTTGAGAGTACCTTTTGGTGGAGTAAAGAAGAGTGGTATGAGAAATTTTAATTTTATCAACCATGCTTAAATAAATTAATTTTTAATAATAAAAAACTTTTTCGTTAGGTATTGGAAGAGAAGGTGGAGAATATAGCATGAATTTTTTCACAGAACAGAAAACCATTTGTTTAGCTAACTAAATCTAACCTTTGATTTTTCTATTAATGATATTAAGAACGTTTAATTAAACAATAAAATATCTTTACCAAGTAATTAATTTAAAAGCATTGAAATTACACCGTTATCGCGTTGAGTTAGTTGTATCGGATGAAAGATGTGAAATTGGCCCTCGTAAATTTTTTAAGTTGATGATATTCATGGCTGCGTCGTGAAAATCACGGTGATCCGTCCATGTTACAGTACTAAAACTTTTATAGTTATTATTAATCTATAATTTTTAGGAAAAAAAAAAAGATACCGTGGTATATATAAATTATGGCATTTTTTTTTTTCCTTAAAATAATAAGAACCAGATAGTAACTAGAAACTCATCAAATTATTCGAATCTCGTAACAGCCATAGGCAATGCTAATGTTTATAATTCAAATACAAGTATGGTAACACCGAACCGAGCCAAATTATTACGTCATCAATAACTTCTGGCCGCACCTTCTTTGATTCCATACTATAGCGTTAGTGAAATTACGAGAATTTTCCGAAATTCTGAGGAGTCACTGTGTGAAATAGTTAAGGGATGATAATAACAAAGATTCTTTACAATCTTTTAATTTATCAGCTTTTTTTTCATTAACTGGTAACGTGGTAGCGGTGGTATATGAGCTGTTCTAACGTGTTGTGTCCTAGCGAGTGGCTTTGATGCGTTAACTTCCACGCTTTTTGTTTAGTAGTTTGATGAAATGTTTGAACATCTTTTGACGGTCCTGAAGCTTGGAGGATTTTTGGGTAAAGATTCATCGGGATTATTTGTGAAGGTAAAAAAGGTAAAAGTTTATTTTAGAACGAAAGGGGAGAAGGTATTTTAAAATAAAAAACATTGATGGTGTCATCATAACACGTATTGGATCATGTGACACCCTTTTAAATCATTATAAATAAATCATCCAACAAGTTTTTCATTTTATGCATTCTTCAAATCATCAACTATTTCATTACGAACGACCAAAAAGATTTTATCCTTAAAGTAGCCCTTCATAAATCATTTCATTATGGACCAAATAATGTTTCAACAACCTGTCAGTTATCAACATACAAAACAAGAAACGGGAACAATGTCGCTCAGCGATAGGTGAGTGTTTTTTTTTTTTACACGGATAGACTTATTTTTTTTTCTCTCTCTTTTTTTTTTTTTTTTTTTTAAAAAAAAAAAAAGAAAAAACCCCCCTTATTTCTAATTTTTTTTTTAAATTTATTTTCTTATCAACGTCGATAACTAGGTTCACTTTAATTAAATTGCAAAAACGTGATATTTCTAATGATAAATCGGTTAATCGAAAATGGAACCGGGAAAAACTTCAAAAGAACTTCAGGGTTGGACAAGGTAGCGTGGCTCAAATAACAAGGTTCTCTTGGTATTTTTCTCTTCTATATTTCGATAAATTTTATTTTAAAGCATTAACTATTTTATACAAGCAATAGAAGGTCGATCCGTCTTTAGTCGAATCGGTGCCGTCACATCATCTACATTTTCTATCAACCATAAAAATCTAAATGGATGTATGAATACGGAAGAGATTCAGGATTTCGGATCAATTATTGATGTTGGAAATAAGAAAATGAATGGAAATAGATCAAATCATGTAGATTTTAATTCAAACCTTTTTGTCATTCATGAAGAAGATGGTACGTATTCTGAATTAAAGTTGGAATTTGAAGAAGATAATAAGGAAAAAGTAGAGGTTTTGGCACCTAATTTTCAACTTGATCCAGCAACAAAGAGAATATCAAGGATATTACCAAAGAAAAGAAAGTTTACTGTGGATATAAATGAACTCGATAGAGAACTTGAAGAATATATGATTGCGGCACCTCGCAAAACACCTCCCATTCCTCCTCCAGATATAAAGAATAATATAGATGATGATTTAATCGATCTGATCGACTTTGATATTGATTTTATGGACATGGATGCATGAACTATTGAAAATATTTTCAAACCTGAATTAATTTACTATCTTTGGTTATTAAAGGGAACGGGGGGTTTTTTTTAATAATTTTAAAATTTGTAGCAATTTATTTTATTACTAAAACTATGGTGATTTTGATGCGGATATGGAATAATACTCGTAAATCTTAATTCATAATAAGAACTACTATTATTATAAAGAACTGGTTATTTTATTTTCTTTAATGCACATTAAGAAAATAAGTAAAATCTTGTACATTTTTGGTTAATTAACGATTTAAAAGGTTTATAGCGTTCAATAAGAGTAACTTCTCGTCATACATCACGCTCTCTTCCTTCTGAATAAAGTTTATTTCTTTTCTTGGAGTATTGATGCAAACGGTAAAATGAGAGCTGTAACAGTCCTGACTTAAAATCCAATGGAAAATCTTAAGGCAATTGATTGTTAAGGGCAATGTAGAACGCCGAATGTCAAAAAATTTTCAGATCTATGACGGAGGAATAAAATGCATTTCAGAAACTGTTTTATTGAATCTCTCGGTTCGATGAAGTTAAGTTTTGAGCTTTTTTTAGATTAATGAGTAAATGGCAAAAAAAAAAACACTATTAAAAAATCTGCCAACTTTCAGCTTTAAGATAAAAAAAAAGTTTTCTTTCAATTTAGCGCAGAAATCATGGTTGGAATGACAGTTGTTAATTCCGCTTTTTTTTTTTTTCTTTTTTTTTTTTGGAATGAAAACTACCGCCCTCGCGTTTCTATATTAATTTTAACAATATGGTCAAGAAAACACAGCATCTCTTGAATCCGAGTATGCTATAAGTCAAAATCTTAGTTTTGAGCCAATCATATTTAAGAGAGGGATGTAAAAACTTCATTGAATCAGAGAAATTTAAATTATATGAAAATATTTAAAGTCATTGATCCTCTCCTTTTAATTCGAATCAATGTTGACATTTAATGTAATTCGAATCAGACGTTAATTCTGATCTAATTCGAATCACTTCGGAGAAAAAATTTTTATGAGAAATATTTAACGAGGAAAAGAAATGTCATTTTTTTTTTTTTTTATTAGTTACTTTATTTTCTTCTAATAAACTTCTTAACACGATTTTTTTTGTAAGCAGAATATCACGAAATTTCGCATCTTTACTACCATTTTTTTTTAATAAATTTTATTGTCGCGAAAATATATCACCCTTTTTTTTAAAACCTTTTAATTTTTATTAATTTTTATAATCAAATTTATGTAATATTATAATTATTAAATAAAATTCCACCGGTTATATTCGAATTTCTTGCGATTTGAATTATCCGAATGATTTCGAATCATTCGAATTTTTTGTGATTCGAACCATTCGGAATAATCCAAATTAATTTGAACTTTAATATGAATATTCGAAGAAGAATTTGTCATTCAACTTTCAAATTCTTTTATTTATTATTATTCTTTGCTCTCCAAATTTAAAAAGCAAATAAAGTTCTCTATTTATATATGAATTGAAAACTCCTCAGATAATTCATATTGAGAAGATCATCATCGCCTACAAATATTGCCATTGTGGATACTAAAAGAATTACTAATTCTTTGTAATACGGATAAATTCGCTGTAAAATAAATAATAAAAGCTCTTTTTGCAAATGACAACATAACATTGAAAATTAAGTAAAGAATAGAGAGTCTACTAGCTTAAGATTTTTCGAAAAAATCTATTTTTAAAATTACCCTCACGTCCGACAATCGTTCTTGTTCTTAAACATGTTAGTAATATAATACAAGAAAAAGCGAATAGAATTTTTTTAATTCACAATAGATAATGAGAAATTGTTTTGTGAAACGAAATCTATCTATTTGAAATTTTATTGATAAAAGACTTTTGGTCGTACAAATAAAAAATAACTGATTATTAACACGAAGTTATTAAAAAAGTTTTTTTTCAAATTTTATCGGAGGGTCAATTAAATAAATATGACACATCATCATCGTCGCAGATCCCTTTACCTGATGAACGTTTTCACTAAAAAAAAAAAAGTGAAAAAAAAATCTGTAAACCGAACAGGTAAGGGCGCCTACCCCCCCGTATTGGCGGGTCGACGGGTCGACCGCGTCCCAAACTTTTTTCACGTGTTAATTTCCCTTTTTTTTTTATTTATGATCGGTTCTTATTGCATCATCAGATAATATTGCGAGAAAAAAAACATATCTGTTTGTCATATCAATGAGAATAAAACGTTTTTTTATTGTAGTGAAAAATAACAGAAATTTATTATGTCAGTTTCGCAATACTAAAAATTTACAATGAAGTTACACTTTATCGCCTTTCAAGAAAAGA